GTGGTCCCAGCTACTTGGGAGGCAGAGGCAGGAGACTCGCTTGAGCCCAGGAGTTGGAGGTTGCTGTGAGCTGTAATGCCACGGCACTCTACCCAGTGGGGGACAGCTTGAGGCTCTGTCTCAAAAAAAAAAAAAGAATTAAATGGCTAGATCTTTAAGGAGCTAAAAATAATTAGGTACTTTAAATCAGACAGTTATAAATTCACAACATTATAAAGCTATGAGAATGGATAGAAAGTGAGTGTAGGTGTACTGGAGGCACATGAATCCTCTAACAAATTACTTCGGTCAACACAAGATGAAGTGATGTACTTACAGGCCTTCTTCTTTAATGATCTCTAGAAGCACCATGTGTGTAGTTTTGGACTTTCTTTTCTCATCAACTACAAGACCAAACAGTACATATTTAAATCATTTGGGAATTATTATCTTCAGCATCAGCAAGTTCTACCGAAATGCTACATCTCTCACTGGAGCAATCTCTCACCCTTTTCTTTAAGCTCTACTGAAATGCTACATCTCTTACTGGAGCAATCTCTCACCCTTTTCTTTAAGCTCTACTGAAATGCTACATCTCTTACTGGAGCAATCTCTCACCCTTTTTTTTAAGCTCCCTCATTTGCCTTGTAACTTAATGATCGCCTGTGCCATCATGTGCAAAATTCCCAACTGTATATTTCTTGGATTTCATCTGTTATTCATGAACTAAAAGGACTTTAATTCCAAATTTCTTTTTTTTTCTTTTTTTGGCCAGGGATGGGTTTGAACCCCCTCTGGCATATGGGGCTGGTGCCCTACTCCTTTAAGTCACAGGTGCTGCCTTTAATTCCAAATTTCTAAAGTAAAAAATCTGACATGAGAAATTTATTTCTTATATTTCATAAAGCTCTCTTGCTTTCTTAAAAGTATTACATGTATAATATATATACAGGGTCTCTGAAAAGTCATCATACAAAACATTTACAAAATATTCTCTACGTGTTGGCCACCTCTTTGTGGAAATTAATCTATGTGCTAAGAAATAAACTGGTACTAACGTGGCTTATGGGATGGCAAATTACTAAATCTCTATAGAAGGCAATCTTGCAACAATTATTAAAGTTAGGCTGGGCACAGTGGCTGACGCCTATAATCCTAGCACTCTGGGAGGCTGAGGTGGGAGGATTGTTTGAGCTCAGGAGTTGAGACCAGCCTGAGCAAGAGTAAGACCCTGTCTCTACTAAAAATGAAAAAATGAGGCAACAGGATCACTCCAGTCCAAGAGTTTATGAGTGCTGTGAGCTATGATGCCACAATACCTACTGAGGGCCCAAAAGTGAGACTCTGTGTCTCAAAACAGAACAACAAAAAACAATTTTTTTTTTTTTTTGAGACAGAGCCTCAAGCTGTCCCCCTGGGTAGAGTGCTGTGGCATTACAGCTCACAGCAACCTCCAACTCCTGGGCTCAAGCGAGTCTCTTGCCTTCGCCTCCCAAGTAGCTGGGACCACAGGCGCCCACCACAACGCCCGGCTATTTTTTGGTTGCAGCTGTCATTGTTGTTTGGTGGGTCCAGGCTGGGGATTCGAACCCGCCACCTTAGGTGTACATGGCTGGCACCTTAGCCGGTTGAGCTATAGGAGCCGAGCCAACAAAAAACAATTATTAAAGTTATAAACACATTTCCCCTTTGGTCTACTAATCCCATTTCTGGGAATTTATCCCATAGAATTTACAGAAACAACGTGGCATATGAATAAATCCATTTAATAAAAGAGTGGAAACAACTCAAGCATCTACCATGGGGGAAAGGCAAACTGGTTGGTTATAGGTACAACCACACCATGCAACAGTCTGTAAGATACAAAGAAGAAACAACCAATGTGCTGAATTGGAAGGCATCCAAAACTGTGTCAAGTGGAAAAGGCAAGGTACAGGATGGGTGTAGTGGCATGTGTCTATAATCCCAACTACTCAGCTACTTGGGAGATTGTGGCGGGAAGGTCATTTGAGGGCCTGAATTTTGATATTAACCTGGCTCACTGGCCGGGCAAGGTGCTTCACACCTGTAATCCCAGCACTCTGGGAGGCTGAAGAGGGAGAGTTGCTTTAGCTCAAGAGTTCGAGAAGATTAGAAAATGGCCACAGTTATGACTCATCTATGAATGACTCTCTGCTGATCAGGAAACAGCAGTGATGACCAGTATTTAAAGTTTGTGAAAACAGACCACACTAGATAGCAAAGAAACAGAATATCTTTACATTAATTGAGAACTTACTAGAGAATATGTTTGCTCCCTGACACCAAATGAACAGGAACATGATTACTACAGAAGAGAAAATACTCACCCTGAAGACGAAGTCTAGCTGTATCCAAGGGAAAAAACACTGTCATTGCTGTCACGCTTCCCTGAAAAGTTAGAAAAAGGCTTTAGCCACTGCAGTATCACAAATATAATGAGGCACAATTTTAATTTTATTTATTTATTTATTTTTTGGGACAAGAGTCTCAAGTTGTTGCCCTGGGTAGAGTGCTGTGGTGTCACAGCTTACAGCAACCTCAAACTCTTGGGCTTAAGCGATTCTCTTGCCTCAACCTCCCAAGTAGCTGGGGCTACAGGCACCTGCCACAACGCCCAGCTATTTTTTGGTTGTAGTTGTCATTGTTCTTTGGCAAACCCCAGCTGGATTCGAACCTACCAGCTCTGGTGTTTGTGACTGGTGCTCTAGCCACTTGAGCTACAGGCACGAAGCCAATGAGGCACAATTTTAAATAAATGAAAGTTAGCTGTTAACAATGAGTCAAGGGCAGTGCCTGTGGCTCAGTGAGTAGGGTGCTGGCCCCATATACCTAGGGTGGCAAGTTCAAACCCAGCACCGGACAAACTGCAACAAAAAAAATAGCTGAGCCTTGTGGCAGGTGCCTGTAGTCCTAGCTGCTCAGGAGGCTGAGGCAAGAGAATTGCCTAAGCCCAGGAGTTGAAGGTTGCTGTGAGCTGTGTGACACCACAGCACTCTATCAAGGGTGATAAAGACTGTGTCTATACAAAAAAAAACCCCCAAAACAAAAAAAAACAATGAGTCAAATAAGATTTTTGGCGAACAAATATATACAATCTGTTGGGATTACTATTGCTCAAATTTCTAATGCTATATGCTTAAACACAAATATTTAATTTTCCAGAAGAGAACTCAACTCTCTCATATTGAAAATGTAGTTGATTCTGCAAATGAAAAACTTAAGGGGTTGCAACCTAAGACACATGTCCAAGGTAGCAGATAAATAGATTTTTAACTGTTTACAGGTCAGTTGCCACTACAATATTCACTATCTGATAATCTCATAAACCAAAATATCCAAACTTCTATTCTCTGTGCTTAATCATATACTCATCACAAGTGAAAGGACACTTAAGAATCACATTGTTCTTTAAAATATTTGTTTGTTTGTGTTTTAAACAAAATAGGAATAATCTTGCTAAAAACTCCTCATATGCATGAAACATCCTGTTCAAGTTTATGGTTCTCAACCCAGATATGTATAAAATCAAGTTTCAGGCTGTGATCTAATGATGATTACAACATACAGTCTTTTAATCATGATACCAACCAGAAACGAGGCTAACTTTAAAGATATGTATGAAAATTTCCTAGTTCTTCTATCTATTTCAATCGGTCAGCCTTCCTTGACGAAGGAGAATGCTATACATATCATTAGTATTCTTCAAAACTCAAGTTTAAAAGTTATCTCTGTCTACACACAGCAGGTTACAATTGGTTGCTTAGTACAGCACTTACAGTGAAAATTATAGTGAACTCTAATTCTTCTGCTAACTTGTGGGAATATTCATTCCATACCTTTGCATATCCTACAACTGTCAGTAAAAGAAGTGCCAATATCGCTTTAGCACACCGATTTGATCTGGTGCTCTAGCCTCAGAGCACGTATGTGCTTAGGGCTCTACGGTATCTCTTGGGCAAGCTTGCTCTATGATCCCCGTGAAAGGATAGGATCCCTTATTTTTTTGTCTTTTTGATAACAGTCAATCTAACTGGGCCAATGTGATCTCTCATGTGGTTATGATTTGCATTTCCCTGATGATTTAGTGACACTGAGCATTTTTTCACTTATCTGTCAGTCACTCCTAGATCTTCTTTTAAGAATCATCTATTCAGGTCCTTAGCCCATTTTTTAATTGGAGTACGATTATGATTATTTTTGCTGTGAGTTCCTTACTTAGTCTGGACATTCACCCTGTGTCAGATGGACCGTTTGCAAATCTCTCTCCCATGCTGTTTCTTCACTCTACGTTTCCTTCACTATGCAGAGCTTTTTTGATTCCATTTGTGTATTTTTGCTTTATTGTCTGGGATTTTGAGGTCTTATTAAAAAAATCCTTGCCGGCTCGGCGCCTATAGCTCAACCGGCTAAGGTGCCAGCCACGTACACCTAAGGTGGCGGGTTCGAATCCCCAGCCCGGACCCGCCAAACAACAATGACGGCTGCAACCAAAAAATAGCCGGGCACTGTGGCGGGTGCCTGTGGTCCCAGCTACTTGGGAGGCAGAGGCAGGAGACTCGCTTGAGCCCAGGAGTTGGAGGTTGCTGTGAGCTGTGATGCCACGGCACTCTGCCCAGGGGGACAGCTTGAGGCTCTGTCTCAAAAAAAAAAAAAAAAAAAAGAAAATATTTAAAAAGAAAGAAATAAAAATTTAAAAATCTTTGCCCAGCCCAAACACTTTATGAAGTGTTTCCTCTATGTTTTCTTGTAGGAGTTTCATAGTTTAGGTCCAATGAGACTATTTTGAAAGAAAAAATTATAGATCAAAATATGCAGAAGAAAGATGTGGTAGGTGAATAATGACTCCTCCCCCAAAGATGTCCTCATCCTAATCTGCTGTACCTGTGAACATGTTACATATATAGCAGGTTATTAATCAGCTGACCTTAAAATAGGGAGATTATTCTGGATTAACAAAGGAGGACTAATGTAAGCATAAAAAATCCTTAAAAGTAGAATAGGGAAATAGAAAAATAGTGGGAATGTTGCAGTGTAATGATGACTCTGTCCACCATTGCTGGCTTTGAAGACAGTGGGAAAGGCCACTAGCCAAGGAATGTGGGTAGACTCTAGAACAGGAGTCCTCAAACTTTTTCAACAGGGGGCCAGTTCACTGTCCCTCAGACCATTGGAGGGCCAGACTGCGGGCCTGGGGATGAGTTGGCTGCTAAGCAGGACAGGCAGTGGTGGCAAAAACACCTGATGGGCTAGATCAATGTCCTAGGCGGGCTGCATGTGGCCTGCGGGCCATAGTTTGAGGACGCCTGCTCTAGAAGCTGGAAAAGTTAAGAAGGTAATTGATTTTCCCCCTGAAAAAGGAAAACAGTTCTGCTGACATCTTGCTTTTAACTCAGTGAGATCTGCAGCAGTCTGGCCTACAGACATACAGATAATAAATTTACTTTAAACCACTAAGTGTGTGGTCACTTGTTACACAGGAATTGAAAACTAACACAACAGGATTAGTACAAATGGTGAGGACAAATAATGAGAAAGCAGAAGAGAGTCATGGGGTAACTTTAAGGTTCAGTAGCTAGCTACCACATTAATAAAAGAAGGTAGTGCCAGTCCCAGGTAATAAATGTAAATATGAGAACCCACATTTGCCTAAGATAACTTGAAACATCTACCCTACCTAACCACTATTCTACTTTGCCAGAAATCTGCCCCTTCTTTTGACTACAGTCCCTGGAGAAAAGCAGTAGTAAACAGACAGGCAGAGGCAGGATGAGGTGGGTGGGGAGGAAACAAAAACCTTTTTTTTTGAGACAGAGTCTTACTATTGTCCTCCATAGAGTGCCAAGTCGTCACAGCTCACAGCAACCTCAAACTCTTCTGGGCTTAAGCGATTTGCCTGCCTCAGCCTCCTAAGTAGCTGGGACTATAGGCACCCACCACAATGCTGGGCTATTTTTTGGCCATAGTTGTCATTGCTGTTTGGCAGTCCCGGGCTGGGCTGGAACCCGCCACCTCTGGTATATGTGGCTGGCACCCTAGCCACTTGAGCTACAGGCGCCGAGCTGGAAACAAAAATCTTAATAGCTTTAACCCAGTAAAGGAGAGGATACACCCATGGATTTGTTCTAGGTTTTGTTAGAAAACACAAGTATTGGCAGGGCCCAGTGGTTCACGCCTGAGCTCACAGGTTCGAGACCAGCTTAGCAAGAGTGAGACCTGGTCTCTAAAAATAGCCAGGCATTGTGGCAGGCACCTGTAGTCCCAGCTACTTGAGAGGCTGAGTTAAGAGAATTGCTTAAGTCCAGGAGTTTGAGGTTGCTGTGAGCTACCAGGCCATGGAACTCTACCCAGGGTGACAAAGTGATACTCTCTTAAAAAAATAAATAAATAAATAAGAGAGAGAGAGAGACAGAGACAGGGTCTTGCTATGCTGTGAGGCTAGAGTCCAGTGGTTATTCACAAGTGTAACTTCAAACTTCACTCCTGGACTCAAGCAGTCCTCCTCCCTCAAACTCCAAAGCAGCTGGGACTACAGGCATGTATCACTGCACCCAGCTGTGGTTTCTCTGCCCTCAAAATATTTTCAAGGTTCATCTACCTTGTAGCATTCATCAGTTTTTCATTCCTTTTTATGGCTAACATTCTACGGTGTGACACATTTTGTTAATTCATTCAAAAAGTTTTGAAATGAAATACAGGTGGTGGTTGTACAACATTATAAATGTAGTAAATACCACTGAACTGTACTTTAAAATGATTAATTTCATGTGATATGAATTCCATCTCAATTAAAAATAAATATCTCACAACAACCTGATGAAGAAGCAGATATCTAAAAGTTCAGCTATTTTCATAAAGTTTTACATTTTCTAAGCGGCAGATTCAGTATTTGAAGATAACAGCGTGGCTCTAGAGTTCATGCTCTAACCTCTATTGTAATTACAACTGTTAAAAAATCACTAATATAGAAATAAAAATTGAAAAGAAAGTATTAATATAGAACTAATATGAACTAGTCTAAACACAGCATAGCTCCTGGCACAGTGTAATTCCTGAATTCGTTAATAAATGTTTGAATGGGCTTGGCACCTGTGGCTCAAGCGGCTAAGGCGCCAGCCACGTACACCTAAGGTGGCGGGTTCGAATCCCCAGCCCAGGCCCGCCAAACAACAATGATGGCTGCAACCAAAAAATGACCAGGTGTTGTGGCGGGCGCCTGT